GGGGCACCCTGCTTTCGGAGAACGTTTCATAAGGACATTTAAAGATATGCTTTTCAAAAGAGTTGATGCCGATGAGAAGAAAGGTAAAAATAATATTCAATGGACTGACTACATATTGGAAATCTTATTAACTTATAATAATAAATTGGTAAGTTCTATTACGAAAATGACACCATTAGAAGCAAGGAAGAAAAAGAATGAGTTTGAAGTCAAACTGAATATATCAATGAATGCCAGAAAAACCCGTGTGTATCCTGATTTAGATATTGGAGATAAGGTTAAGATTATGAGGAAAAAAGGAATTAGTGAAAAAGAACGGACGAGTCATTATTTGAAAACTATTCACACCGTAACTAAAATAGAAACTAAATTAGGTCAGAAGTATTACAATGTCAGTGATTTTCATAAACCCTTATTGAGGCATGAGATGTTAAAATTATAGTTTTAGACTAAAAAGGGTTTAAAGACATATTGCCTATATATATTAAGAGAGATATGAGCGATATTAGTAATTTACCTGTTGAAGTATTGAGTAATATTAATGCCTTTAAATTTGGCAAACCTGAGTATATAAAAATAAAAAGTTGCCATATTGAAGCATTGAAGAGAATACAAAACAATTACAAAATTACAACAACTGAACCACAAACAATATACAAATACCTAAAATTAAATGGTGGAGGAACAGAGAAACAAGTTAAAAGGGAATATGATATTGAAAGAAGAGTGCCATTTGGAATGGACAGCATTGAAAGTATTATCAACAAACAAAAGGAGGAAATATTAAGTTTAATCTATGAAGAAGTAGAACATAACACTGACTATCAATCCAAATTAGATGTATTTTTAGATATAAGAGTAAGACATAAAGAACGCAAATATAAAGAAGGCATGTTTTTAAGTTTAAGCATAAGTTTCTGTTCTAATGAATTGAATAGCGATGATGATGATTATGAAACTATAAACGAAAACAATATTAACAAAGTGTTGAACGGAGCAGTCAAAAAGTTGAAGAATATCATTCAAAACCAAAACGATACTTTTTACTATTTTGGCATACAATCATTTGGTTTCAGATTAATCTTGAAAGAAAATGTTTGAATAACAGAACAAATCCATTGTTAAGATAATTACTAATTATCTTAAACATGTTGTTTTTCGGACTTTTGATTTAGGGGGGCTGTTCTTGTTTGAGGTTTTGTTTAGGTTCTTTGAAAAGTTCTTTGGAATGTTTCGTTGGTTGGTTGTTTTGGAATGTTCTGTGTTCTGTTCCTTGTTTGGTTTTTTGGTTATGCTCTTTGTTGTTGGGGGTTTTTGGATAAGGGGACTTCAACCCACTTCGGTAAGCATTTTGCCTAAAAACGGTTTAAAGGGTAAGTGGCTTATTATAGTAGAAGATTATGGATAAGACATATTGCTCGGGGTGTGGACGCTATAAGAATTACAGTTTATTTTCAGATAATTGTAAAACTTGTGATAAATGCCGTGAAAAGCAAAGAAGGAAGTCAGAAATAAAGAAATTGAAAAGAGAAGCGATTAAGAAAGAAACAGTAGCAGATGAAGGGGAAAAACAATGTTGTTCTCATTGCCGAGTTCATAGAAAGATTGAATTATTTTCAGATAATCATAAAACTTGTGATAAGTGCCGAGACAAGCAAATAGTATATTCAAAAACATACCGAGACAACCATAAGGAAGAAATACGAGAAATAAACAAAGAATACGGACAGAGAGAATATCATTGTTCTGTATGTGATTGTGAGATTAAATTAAAGCACAAGGCACGGCACGAACGAGCAAGGAAGCACATAGAAAATTTAGAAAAGAATGAGGTTAAGGATGTTTGAAATGGTTTAAGTTATTCTATAAAATGAATAACTCAAAGCATTTTGATTATGAGGTTGGTTAGGCACGTGTTATGAAACTTATATGGGTTTTGATATGGGTGATTGGTATGAAATTTTATAAAATCTTGGGGGCGGGTCTGGCTGATGGGGTAGGAAAGAGGGTTGTAGGGCTCCCTCTTGCTTGTTGGGGGGGGGGGTTTGGGGTTTGGGTTTACGGGTGCAAAGGTATTGGTGGGGGGTGGTGGCTCAGCGTGGGGGAGGTGAAGAGCTGGGGCTGTGAAGGGCTAGATGAAGGGGAGGGGGATGAACGGAAATGTTGGCATGAAGCAGTCAGTGGACAAATTCACACAACCACATCACAAGCTTTAATCCTTAAAAATCCAATGTTGTGCTTCCACAAGCCTTCACAAGTAACGAGACCTGCAAACCTGCGCTCACCCACTTTCTTGACAAGGCCACAAGGCTTTTGGTTTCTCTCAAACCTTGTCAGTTGAACCACGTCAAGTCGCAAAACTGCTATGACCAAAACCAGCCCTCCAAAGTGTGCCTGTGTCCGAGCTTTGCCGAGGTTGACAAGTGCGGAAGCCACCAAACAAAGAAGGGCTAGGCTGCGACCGAGCCGGCCGGGGATTTCAGGTGCTTCCCTTAGCCAACTGACGCGCCTGGGCCTCCTTGGCTGTCTTGAAGTCATTCGCCAACTTCTCCTGCGCCTTCCGCGCTTTCCTTGGGAACGGAAAGCGAAGACCCGAAGCTCGGATTGAAATGTCGCCTCTCAAGGCCTCCGTCTATGTGAAAGATGACCGTAGTTTGAAGAAGGTCGCCACGAGCGTTGTATACTCAGTTGGACACTTGGCTTTGACTCCCTTGCAGCCTCTTGTCGAAGCTAGGCGAGAGAGCACGTGTCTCCCTCCAGTGGCCCGTTTTGGAGATGGGCACTGCCGACCTGCCACCATAGAGCCATGTTCAAGCGGCAAGAGCGCAGTTCAGCTGGCTGTCAGGCCGGTTGCTTGTCGATGACTCCCTGTTGACCCCGATGGAGGGTCATACTACTAGTTACATGCAAAGCAAGACTCGCCATGGTTCCAGGGCGCAACTGACCCAAAGCTGTCGCAAGGCCAGCCTGGCCTCAATGTATATCCTCGTGTGCCTTTGAGGGGTTCAAATTCAGTGTCAAAGGCGAGCGCTTCACACCGCCATATACGACCACGGTCAAAATATGCTGCTGCCCGAAAAAAACTTGGGAAAATGAATGAGTTCTTTGGTGTTCATGGAACGTCTAACAGGCGCCCCCGTGTCGCTCTCAATTGCGTCAATAGGCTACTGAATCTTTTGACCGAACCCTCATTCGAATCAACGCGCACTGTCCGGCTGCCAGCAAGCAAAGTGCACCGCCCAAGAGATGCCGCTCACCCACGCCTTTCCATTAGCGGCCCGCAAAGCTTCTACAAGGTAAAGAAGACGCGGGCGGTTGGAAGAGGCAACCGGAAAGCATTTCATGCGAGCTGGTGAACAATCGCCTGGTTGATTCATGGGGTGTCCAATTCGAGAGAGAGAGAAAGAGAGAGAGAGTCCGGATCACTTTTGGGGCCAACACCCTGTTAGTCTAGGATCTAATTACTTAAATCCAGGGTTGACATTCATGAACAGCTATGGTGCCCAAATGAGTGTTGGAAAGCGACGAAAACGCCCAGCCTATTTTGGGGAGGGGCTTTCCACATTTGGGAAACCTGAATGGGTATGTTACGCATACGTGCCAAAATGAAGACGCCAATCCCAAGGGTAAAGACCGACGCCCCAAATGCCAAAGACCGAGAGGCAGCAGCGCCGCTTTGCGGAGCTCGTGGACCTGGAGCACATCCCGACGCGTGCCGGCACGCGGCGGGATAAGGCGGGTCTTCGTTCGGGAACTCCCCCCGTTGGCTGGTTTTGAAAGTTTTGAAAGTTTTGAAGGGAAATAGGAAGCCAACTGTTTAGTTTGGGGCGTCCCCCATGTTGCAACCTGAAACATGTCATGGACACCAAAATCGGCAGTGCAAGCAAAGCCCGCGGCCTTCGCAAAGCCAGGAACGTCCGTGCCATGACTGTGCTGTGTTTCATTTGTTGCGGTTGCTGTGTTTTTGTGTTTGCTTGTTTTTTGCTTTTGTTGGGGGAATGTCAGCCTCATTCCCTTTGAATGGCTGCAACACAAATGATCAGCGCAACAATGGAACATCTCCGGCCAACCTGCGGCTCCAGCGGGCTACAGGTCGAGATCCGGTCAACGAGAACTACAGCGAGGCAATCGCCTCTTCGCTTGCCCTTAAAAACAGAAGAGGGATGCCAGAAAGGGCCAACTGGAGTGTGAAACCTAGGCCAGGCGATGACCTGAGGGCTGAGGGCTTGGTCTTGTGCAAAGCCCCACTGAGAAATTCCCCCTGCCTCAACTGCTCCAAGCCAGAGTCGATTGCCAAATGTTGCAGGTGAAAAGAAAGCCCAACCACAAAAACCAACCGACTTGCGAGGAAAAACCACAGGGTTCCCCTTGTTCCCCACCTGCAATGCTTATCGCATCTGCCGCACTCCTGAACCCCACGCCCCTCCCGCGGCACCTCCTTGAGCGCCTCCCGTAGAGGCTGAAGCTCCGCATTGAGGCCTTAAGGCAAGCCGGCCGCCCATGTCCCGTCGGCTTCCCTCGAAAGGAGATGGCGCCACCGCAAGGCGAACCGGAACTCCAAAACGGGAAAGCTTGAAAGCTTGTTTGGAGGCAGTTGGAGTAACAAACGCCACTCTTTCTCCAAGCCTGCCCAACATGCATACTCTATCACACCACTTTCACACCACGTCATGGACCTTGATTGGGTTAAATCATTCTCCTGGCAAAGTGCAACCCAAGAATCACCCTTTAGACACTCTCAGGTTGATGCCGATCCCTCAAGCTGCCGTTTGTGCTTCTACCACCTGAAAGAATGTCCGCTTCAAAAAGTGCCTGTCCGTCATTCTCAGCTGCGTTGGTCCTATGTTTGAAGAGGGGCAGCTTCCACCCCACAAACCGAGTCACCAGAGCAAAATTACGTGGCGGTCACCAACCCAATCAACACGAGAGCACATCTTCTTCACATACGATGCTCTATCCCCGCATCTCTGCTCCGCCAAAACAACACTTGGGCGGGCCACCCACAGACTCGCCCTCTGCAATGGCAGACCGCAGCACATATCCATCCCGGCTCTGCGCCAGCTCATGCATCGTCGCCAGTAGCCGCTCCCCTCGGTTGGCAAATAGGTCGGTGCGACCAGGTGTGGTCCAGGGCGAGTTGTATGTGAGTGTGGGTGCTTTTGAGGGTACCCTTTTTGGTTCTTGGGTTGGCTTGAAGGCAACCAACACGTTTCTTGGGGGGGAGGGGGGGTTGCGGTTTTGGCTGGGTGGGGGTGTAATAAGCACAGCCGAAAACATGCTCACAGCTTGCATTTCTTCGTCGCCTCAACCACTGAAGCACTTTCATATCATGTGCATGTACCAGCAATATCATGGGAAGATCGCGCCATGGCCGTCTGATCCGCTCTTGTGCATGTGGCTCGTGCTCATGCAGCTGCCGTCATCTTGCTACCCCACTCACGAGTATTCCTGGGAGCTGCTTGGTTCTTGAGCCTCGCTTCGAGTCCACTCTCCCAGACTGTGTCAATCGAACGACTTCTTGCTTCTGTTGCCAGCTACACCACCTCGAAAGCCTCAATGCATCCCAGTTACTCGTCATATAGCTTTGACTCTTTTCCAGTTTCGTAACGTGCGTGTTTGCTCTCTTTGACTGAGCAGCGGAGGTTCTTGACACACCTGATCTAGCAGATCTTCAACGTACATAAAGTATGTGTCATCGGGATATGCTCTGGCAGCCAGTTCTGCAGACAGCATGATCAAGTCCTGGTTGTCTCATGGGTTTTGCGGGCCGAAGCATCCATGAGAAAGCAGAGATGATCCGTGGCGCGTCTCCAAGGACACCACCATGTTGGGGGGTCGTCCCATTTTGACAAAGGGTTGACAGGTATTCGCGAGCAAGCCTGCAGCATGATGGCGCGTGCACTCTGCAAATGCTCACAGGGCGCACCACAGAGACGGGCACACTGGTCTCTGCCACTGCAACGTCTGGTGAGAGGGCTGGCACCACAGCACCACTGAACAACGCCACTACGTTTCCTCTGATAATTTCAAGCAAATCTCCAGAACACTTTGGCACTCAGCTTGTAATTGTAGGGCCGCAGTTCCACGACAGAGCCGTCAACACACCCAGCCAAGCGACGGATTTCCTTCGCTTTGTTGGCAGCTTGCTCCTGTAGACAAGAAGAGGGAGCTATCAGAAAGTGGCTTTTCAGTCGCTTGCTCCAATGCGAGAATCCTCTGTAAGCTATCTGGCTCACAAGAAAAAGCGATTCTTGGGCCTTGAGAAACTGATGGATTCAGTGCTTGGAAAAGCCGCCAATGAGCTTCCCTGCCATGTGTTTGACCCTTCCAAGCGACATGTCAGGGCCCTTCCAAGTTCGCCAGCTCGACCGGACCCATGGGAAAATGATGAACCCCTGGCAAACCTCCACCATTTCGCCCCGCTTTGGCTGCTTCGTTGCCCAGGCGAGCCCAACTCAACCAAATCAAGCCACGCAAGAAACTCGATCGGTCTGATCCCGTGGGCTTCCGATATTTTTGTTTTCCCTTGGACAAATATCCAACAGGAAACTCACCCAAAGGCAGCCAAAACGATATTGTTTTAGTCACTTGAGAGGGAAATCTACTCTCCCACCAGCATGAAGCCCAACAGAGATTTGCTGTTGGAGCAAAGTGGTCTTCCAGCATCCCCAGTCAAGTTTCATGTCATTTGGTGGGGTACGGTGGATACCTAAAAATTGCAAGCAAGCCAACCATAGTCAACAACAAAACTGAGGGGCAAATTGAGGCAAACTCGAGTTCCTTGCTACCTTCGCATTTGGGGCATTCGTTGGACCCCCTCCCCTCCTCTGCCAGCTTCTTCTGTCGGGCCTCCTCCACTTTCCGCTGCTCTTCCCGCTTGGCCTACGTGGCATCTAAGCCAACCCCAAGGTCCAAGGAACCCCAGAGGAAACTGCAGAAGCGAAATCATGTCACACATCCTCCAACCATGGCTTCATTTTCACCTTGCAAGCTCATTCTAAGCGTTTGGGCCCTGGAACAGAAACCAACGGTCTGAGTGCGGGCTTTTTTGGGAATCGATTCCCACAAGCGTGGTTTAGTCCAAAAAAGCATCACGCATACTAAACTAAAAACACAACATTTTCTGAGGAATCAGAAAACAAACAATTTCTCATGTGCGTGCTTTTGAGCAATCCTGCAAGGCCTCCCATTTGCAAAACCCGGAAAAACAAGCATGAGAGGCATCCTAATTGCAAAGCCAAAGAAAGCATGCCTGAACGGCCTCCCATTTGCAAAAACAAAAAACCTCGAAGAAAGCCCATAAAAGAAACAAACAACAAACCTGAGGGAAATGTGTCGGTGCCCAATACCTTTTGTCTGGGGGAATGTGTTTGTTTCTTGTTTTTGCGGGTTTTCCTCGAGGATGGGCCATCTTGGCAGATCTCTCTCAGGGAGGCGTCGGATGCCACTACGTTCTACACATGTTCATAGATGTGTTTTGCAATTGCGGGGGCCAGGCGCATTTCTCACGTCTTCATATCTTTATGAAATACTAGCCTGTGGTGATAGAATAGACATGAAATTGGCAAAAAAATCCAAAAGTGAAACAATTGTTTACTTTCTGACGCCATCCTGTTCCGTTCTTTCCTCAGCAAAGAGAGGCTTGGAAGGAAATGGACATTTGTTCATCTCTTATCACTCCCGCACTTCCACTCTTCTATGCTCTAGCGGTCGAAGGGAGCGAGGGATGAGGATTGAATGAGATGAGAAATGAATCAAAGAAGATTAGGTTTTACACACAAGAAATGGAGACAGTCGATGGAAAAGGGAGCTCTGCGGCAGAAGCAGATCCAGTGCTGGAATTCTTTTCACATAGACCTGAAATGTGCTTTTCGCCATGTATTACACGTTTGCGCCATTTCAGGGATAACGCGACCGCCCCAACTGCAAAGCCAACTGGGGCATCTCAAGACATATCGGACGGCTCACCTTCCCTTCCAGTTTCAGCCGCAGACAAAAGACTCCAGGAAAATAAAATTCACCTAGACGACAACAAGGATATACGTTCACTAATCCACCAACTTGCATGGGACTGTGCGTTCGCGGGGTTTGAAAGGGCTAGCCAAGTGGTGCATTTGGAGTTTGCACGTTGCTTTTCTGCTAGCTTCTTCGGTTTGAGCTTTTGATAGAGACTTCTCCCGGGAGAGTTTCATGACTGATGCTTTCAGATCCCACCTTTCCCAAGCGAGTGAGGCTTGATGGTGCTCTCCGCCAACGCCTTGCATCAAACCTCCCACAGAACTGTTTGGGCACAGCTCGTTTTGCTCCGGGAGGGCCCTGGAAGGTGCGTTTCCTGATAGCTTCCTTCACACAACACCTGAATGAAACCCAAATCAACCACATCCCCGCAGCACACAGTTTCTGCACCCCCACCCGCCCCTCCCGCACACGGGTTCCTCATCTCCCCCTTCCGCATCAGCCCACCAACATGAAATGCGTTTTCAAGAAGCCTGTTGTGTGGGTATGGGTCAAAAATTTAACCACCAGGGGACCGCAGGTTTTAGTCTGTGGTTCCATCTACCAGGGTTCCATTTTGGGTACGCATTTTTGACCCATAGCCATGTCATCTTTACAGTCTTTACAAAACAAAAAGGGAGCTTCATGATATGGAGGCTCCTCCTGGCGCTAGCGCGCCTCCTCCTGGCGTCGCTTCTCCTCATCCGCCTTCTGCTGCTCCTGCTGCATCTGCCTTTGCCGCTCCTCCTCCGCTCTCTGCTCCTCCCAATAGCCAGCAGTCAACCCCTGCCACCTTTCCTCACCCTCCCTTTTGGGTTTAATCGCCACACAAGGGCCGTCCAGGAGAATGTTTAAAGCCTGGCACTTGCTCTGCAAAGCGTGAAAAAACATCAATCTGGGCTAATTGCGATGATTCACCAACCTGCACTCCAAGGGACGCTGTGGACGGAAACTTCTTAATGTGTTTTCGGTCGCAAACTCGCTTTTACAAACTCCGTTCTCACAGAAGTGGGCGTCAGCTTGCCCACACCAGTAAGAAAGCAGTCAGCCATCCCTGAAGGCATGCTGGCTCCCTACACACATGCACTGGTGGCATCTTTCGCATGCTCCGAGAAACCAATGGCACTTTCCACTTTCGCCTTCACCCTGAAAGAAACTGTCCTTGAAGAATGGCAACACTCAAAGTACAGAAGGGATTCCATGAGGTGGAAGCTTCCAAACAAAGACGACCCTCATTCGACCATGTGCGGTTTATTTGAAGGGTTTGCGCTTTTGGGGGGTGTCAAGGTCGAAGCGCTGAGGTTAGTTTCAGGGTGTGTTCGGGATTTTGGTTGGTCAAAAAGCAAGAGAAGTCAAAAGCCCAAAAGAACACGAAAACGCCACGAAAGGGCCAGGAGCTCGCCTAAGTCTGAAGTCTGCTCCCATGGCCCCCCCCGTCCCCCGTCTCACCGGCTCCCCCCCCCCCCGCCCCGCCTTCTCCCGGCGCTGCTTCTCCTCCGCCTCCTTCCTGGCGCGCTCCGCCGCCTGCGCCGCCTCCCGGCGCGCCGCCTCGGTTGAGGGGCATCCGACCAATCGATGTCACAGCCTGCAAAGGTCATGAGTGTGCGGATGCCACCCTGCATCAATCGTGCCCCCGACAGACATGCATTTCGAACAGTGACCTGTGGCTTGCACCGAGACTTGGGCTGAAGCCGCCGGGGGAGGGGAGGGGAGGGGAGGGGAGGGGGGGGTTGAAGGGGAGTAACAGGGGGTTACATGTTCCCAAACGCCACTCCATCTTTGGGCGACCAAAGGTGATGTTTGAAACCGTGAGGAGGTTGACTCCCATCCCCATGAATAAGTATACTATACTCAATCTTACTTCAAAAGGAGATTCGCTTGGTATCACAGAAACTGTTTAGGAACTGAGACGCTGCCCTCGCGCTCGAGCAACGGGAAACCCCGCCTCCTCCTTCTGCCGCTCTTCCTCGTGACGCCGCATCTCCTGATGCAACGGGTGGAGCCAGTGCAAAGATCCCAGAACTACAATGTCCAAGGCAAGAACGGGCCACGTCTGCATTGGTGGTTCTACCCGGGTACCCGGGCAATGTTCGAGCACAGTGCCCGTGACTCAAATCCAGCTCACATATCCCGCAATTGTTGGAACTGACATGCAATGGTGCACAAACAACTCGGGGCACTCGCTTTTCGTTGGATCACTCGGCAAATGGTGGCCTTGACATGGATCCGACCGGCGGCCCACACTCCTTACCAACGGGTTCATCATGCCCAAATCATTCACCAGATCTTTCGACGGTTGCGCAAAATCGCTCCTCCAACTCCTGCTGCAACTTCGACCGTTCTTCCTCATCAAGGCGTTGCCTCGGCACCAGAAAAACAAAATACGCAAGAGGACATGGGGAAACTGGGTTGCTTTCCTGAAGTTTGGGCAGCCCGGCACATCCTCCCCAACCAAAAACAAACTACTGATAGTATGGTGGTCAAGAACCGCAGGTGTGCGCCTTGTCTAGAGCTCTTGCAACCGGATCTTGTAGGGGACTGGCTTTCCAAAACCCCAAGAGATCCAGTACACAGATCCTTGTAGAGGTCCTGCAAGGAAACTTTGTGCAGGACCTTGTGAATACATTTTAAAGGTATCCTTCGAAGATATCTTGAACAGGACCTTCTACGTGCATAATACTCCATCAAGAAATCTTGTACGGGACATGGCACGGACCTTGCATGGAGCTCTTGCAACATTTTGGATGCCTGTCGAGATCCTTTCAAGAGAACCTTGTTCGCTGATCCTTTTTGGAGATCCTGCAAGGACCTCACTGTATGACTACTTTCTAAAGATGTGCTCGGAAGAGATCCTAGGCAGGACTGATCCTTTCTGGCGATCCTGCAAGACATCCTGCGCAGGACCTTAGGAGTACCATAGAGAGCTCCTGCACAGCACCTTCATATTCCTTTTCGCGCTCTTTGGGGTTTCTGGAAAGGCTCCTCATTTTGTCGCATCCCACGTGTCAGGCGGAGGACGTGACATATGTCTCACACCAGGAAGGCACCTCCGCGGAGAGCCCTTCACCCACGGCAATTGGTCGGCGATCAAATTGGTGCCCATGCGTGGTTTATCACCCAGGCTCCATGGAAGCCCTCCCAATCCACCAACTGATGGAATCTTCACTTCCTGAAAGACCGCCCGCTATTCCTCTGAAAGGCCCGGGGTCAACGGCCAACCTCATCAACACAGCCCCACATAGCCACCAAACCCACCAGAGCAGAAATTGCAGCCATTCCCACGAAGGGGAATGAACCACCAAGAAAGAAGCGCCACGCCATCGGCCCGGGCCTGCGCAGTCGTCTCTCCTTCAGCTTCCGGCCAATGAGCAGCTTCTGAGCCTGGCGAAAGAGAGAAGGGCCTTCGGTGGCTCCCGCCCGCCTCCCGCTAGCCATCCACAAACAGCCGCCATTTGACGAGCCTTAAATGATACGCATGTAAGGAGCCACAAAGATGGCCTTTATCCATGGGTGTTGCCACCAACCTCAAAATACTCCTGGTTTTGCAAAGGCTCAGGTTCGCCCAGGGTGTCAACCGCCAAGGGCATGAAACCCATTATCCTGGCTGGGTGATACAGAAGCATGGCTCATACCTCGCCTCCTCATCATCTTTGTAGATGAAGAAGAACTGGTTGAGAGCATTCACCAGATTCTGCCGGCACTCCTCAAACATGTTGCCGTGCCACCAAAAATATGCTTTGGCTTGTTGAAAGTTGCGGCTTTAACTTGCACAGCTTCACCATGTTCACATGCAACCATTCTGCACCGCAATGGGCATAAGAACCTCAACCCAACAGCGGCTTCCGCCCCCCCCCCCCCTCCCCATACGCCCAGTGTCCGCGTAGCTGATCTCGGGCCGATCCATCTTGGCAGTAAGGGCCGCGTGGACGCGGTCCCTCTTCCTTGCCGAGAGCGAAAGCGTGCCAGCTTGGAAAGCGGGACTTGGATAGATTACCCCCGCAACCCTCAAGCTTGCTTCCTGAATTCAAGATTCAAGATCGGAAGAAACACATTCCTAGTCTTGAACTGGTCTCTGGATTCTGGAATTCCCGGAAGCTACCTCTAGACTTAGTTGGTGGACTGATGCATACGAACCAGCTTACTATCTTCTTGGCGCAAAAAACAAAAACAACTCCTAAAATGCAGATTCCAAAAGAAAACTGGCCGCGGAGTGTTTGGGCAAAACCCCCCAAGGACTTCCCCCCGGGCGTTAGGCGGGCGTTCGGCCGAGGAACGCCTCCGGCGAGGCAACCCGGGAGCGTGGGGTGCTCCGCCCCGGAGAGGTGGGGCAGTCCGCAAAGCTGCTGCCCCTCGCAAGAAGCGGATCCGTTGCCACGGGGTCCCGGTCCCTTCGCGAAAGTTGCTTGGTGTTCTGGGTGCCTTCCCACAAATGCCGTCTGTTCGTGGGAAGGGTACATTCGGATTGAAACAAGGACCACACTGGTCCGAGTCATCTGAAAATGATGGCGTCTCTCCCGAAAGCACCACTGATGATGGCGTCCGCCGGACTGATCCGAAGTACAAAACAGAAAAGAAGAGGGGTGTGGCTAATTCACACTTAGCTTGAAGAGGTCAAGGTTGCCAGTCATCATGATGTCTCTCTCCGTGTGGCCAATAAACACCCATGACCGATCTCTTCAATATGACCTAATGCCAATACGATTGCATGGGGGGAGCATACTGGCCAAACGATGGTTCATGTTTGGACACCGTTTGGAGTGGATATGGGCTGGGAACATAAAGCGCGCCCAAAGGCCCGTGAATATTGTCCAACGGCCGGCATAGATGTGCATACATGTATACAAGTATGTATACCTATGTTGATATGTGAAATAGGCCCCAATCTGTACCGGAGAGGCTTCACGATACTCCCAGGTCCCAGCACAATCCATCAACCATAGGAGTGTTGGACATAAGAAATGAAACTGTATATACCTCTTTCAACCTCTTTCCCCTTCCCTTCCCTCCCCGGGGGCCAGTCCATGCCAAAAACCTGTAACCAACGTAACCAACACTGTGTCAAGCTGCATGAAACGGAATCTCTTCTTTCCATTCAGCGTGTCGCTGCCCACACGCGATTCCAAACTGAAACGCTCGAGACTCCTTGCGCAAGATGCAAAGCCCGCTCCAGGCATGGGTCAGTGAACCTGTAGCAGCGTGGAAGCGGAAAGAAATGTGCGATGGAAAACCCGGTGCCCTTTTTGGCGAAGAGCTCGCACGGCCCTTCCGTTTGCTCTGGCCTCACTTCCATCAGCTGGGGTTGGCGATCCAGCAGTCCGAAGCCCGGCAGGTCGGTGTCCTGCACGTACTGCGGCAGCATCTCCTGAATAGGCAAAACCCCAAGTCCATGGCTGCTTCTCACATGTGGAAAGCTCATGGTCGCGTTTCCATAGTCTTTAGAGTGGGGAGGAAACTTCTTGAGATGTAGTGTGACCCCAACATGACCTGGCCCTGTCCGATTCGCTGCGGATTGCATGGGGCGTTGACTCGTCATGTCAGTAGGTCCAGAAGCCACCATGAAGGGGCACTGTGCGTCGGATATGACGCAAGCCTCGCTCAATGGGTGACTAATACACTTGTATCATAAGGCGAGCCGACAAACATGGGCACGGGCACTGGCGGTTTGAATGGGTAAGCTGGATTTGCGGTTGCTTCCCTTTCAGCTCATAACGGTCTGCACTTCAAGGGTGGGGCCAGGCAAGAATCCCTTCCGCCCGCCTCCAGGGCATCAAGCAGGCCGCTCTGGATCTCGAAGAGATACCTGCAACGGGGTTTCATGGACCCCCGATGGACCCTTCTTTGTGCCTTGTTTGTGCCTTGTTTGTGCCATGTACCGTGTGCTGTGAAACAGGTCCTTCCAGTGGTTGACTAGAAAATGCCGCAGAGATGGGGGACGGGCCATAACAGCAAAGGCCGGAAGTCATCAGGCAACACCGAGGTGAGAGGGCGGAGATTCACCAAAGGAGCCACAGACGCACTACCACAAATCGAAAGCCCACTGCGGATCTGCAGCGTGCCAGAATCCGGGCACCTTGTCAAGCTTTGCAAGGGACAAGCTCTCGAAAGGGGCTAGCAGAATTCATGAAATAAGGAAGCATGCTCATAGAATGCTCTTGATGGCAATGTCTAGTTCGAGCTTACAAAATTGATGCCCGCCTTCAGTCCAAGTAACGTCGCTTCATCACTAAAAATCAAAGCATCACACTCTTAACTCTGAGCCAGCCTAAACCAAGACTAAGCAGGAGCCAAACCCCAACCCAAACGTCCTAACCCAGGTTTGTGGAAATCGCCACCGCTCCTGTGATGTCACCAGAAGGCCATCCCAAGAACTAGTTCTCCCACCCAACAGGAAAGTGTGTTTCCAAGACCCCATTCACCGCAAATCTGGTTTCCCCAACATCCAACCTCTCACAACTCACCAGAGCTCAAAACACCATGCAAAACAAGGAACCACTCACACCCCCGTTTTTGAAAACACGGGGCATATGTGCAACTGATGGGTGTCTTCCACACGCCCTTCAAAGCATGTTGTTGAAGGAAAGGCACATAGAAAATGCCAAAATGCGCCCTGAATCGGCAAGGCCAAATGATCCATACTTGCAGGGCGCCAAAATGTGTTTGCTTCCTCCAAAAAACAGCTAGCCAAATGCAATACGTGCGGTCATGTAAAGAATTCTGCATAGAAAAGGCAACTCCAAGAGTTGCAGAAGCACGATCCCAACCCTCCAGCATGCATGCTGCATCTATACACATGTGCATGCGTATCTGCATACAAGCTGGTCATCCTATACTGTTCATGCTTGAGCGAAATACTCCTGCTCAGGGTTGTCCTTTCTGGAGAACAAAAGTGTCGCTTTCCCACACCTCCAACTGTAGCTTTAAATGGGAGCCTGTCGGGCCACCCCGTCTACTCCAACGGAAAAGCGACCAGGCCGCTGCCAACGACCCCCATCCCACCGAGTGGCTGCGTCTCGTGTCGAGGGTCCTGCCACGAGGAGATGCCTTTCTCCGAGTTGGCGAAGTACTCCCGGCCCTCCTCGTCCACGTGAGGCCCGTGCCAGCCCTGAACGAAACGCAAAAATCGCTGGGCTGTTGGTTTTTGGGATTAGAGTTATTCGGTTTGGGGTTTGGGGTTTGGGGTTTGGGGGTTTACGGCTGGAATTTCGTGGTGGCTTTGTCTGGAGTGAAGTACGCGCGGTGCTCCGGACTCGCGTCACAGCAACCATCTGCACTTCTTCTTGCATTGTGCCACTTATTCTTACATCTATGTCATACTATGTTGCGATTTGCGCGGATGGTTGAAGCAAAGGTCGGAAGAGCGTGAACAAAAAGAGACTTGCCTGGCCTGAATTCATGCAGTACCAACGTTAGTTCATGTCAGCCACTTCATGCGTGCCAGTCAGACTCTAAATCGGGCGCATGGCACAGCCGCCTTTCATGGCTGCAAAAGTAAGCACGCCGCACCCGCACTTGCTGAAACCACTGAAAGAAGCCCTCAAAGCTCCGAGCTTGATTTTGACTATGAGTGCCATGTGCTCAAGGGCCATGGTCCCTGCTCTTGCGAGTCACTTTGGTGCTCATCTTTCTTCCATAGGGATTGTGGCTTGCTGCGTGTAATAATGGGTCGTAGTCGTTTGGACACAAGTGCAAAAGGATGTCGCCCAACCAATGGAGACAACTTTGGCATCAATGCATAGCGCATATCAGACTTGACACTGCAAGTTGGAGGCAGGAGGGGATGCCCAGCTGAAAGCAGCTGAAAGCTCCAAGGCCCAGAACGCAGACTCAAACAAGACAGCCAGCCCAAAAGGCCACAGAAACAAGACCTGCCCGATCCCATAAATCCGTGTTTCCCTGAATTGGGGAGCCCTCCAAGTGGCAAACATCCAAAGATGGGGCTTCCTATGCGGAGCCAATACATGTGTTCGGGGTCACGTAGGGTGGAAATTGAGGACTTGACCTCCCTCCCGTGCCTGATCTTCAAATGAACCCTCCCTGAGCAGGTGTCAAACCTAGAGGCCCTTTTGGATGTAAAGACCTGCATGGCGCTTTGCCCGTGATACACCACAGGTTGGCCCTGCGTTGGAGCGGTTCCTTGGACTGCGAATTGAGCCTTGTCGGCCCCGACTGCTTCCGCTGTCAAACAATCCGGGGGCCATCGAAATCCGTCGGGTGACTTGGCTCAGCGCCTCCAGGTCCCTCTTGTGGGAAGCCCAGAGCCCCATCTTCCTCAGGCAAACATGGAAGCTGATCTGAGGTGATCATAACGTTGCCCACAACCTGCAAAAGAATCATAGGGCAGATCAAGGCATAGATGTCGCATGAAAGGAATCAATCATTGCATGAAGGATCGAACAAATGGGTGCTTGGACGCATGGACGAAAGAATGCAGGGCAGAAGGAAAAGGAAGCAACATGATGCAGAATCACATGAAGTGGACCAATGCATGAAGTGGACCAACATGACAGGAACTGCAATCACATAAAGAGTCTGCAACGCGTAGCCAATAAGTCTAGAGGTTGGTCTCTGCAGCACCTCTTCCGCTCCCAATGATGCTTTTCAGGAATCATTTGAAGTAACACATGCAAGCATGTGCTTTCCACCTACTAAGACTCGACAAACTCACCCCACACCCCACACACACACACACACTCACTCTCTCACACTCTCTCTCTCGCACTCACACATCTCCTCACTCTCCTCACTCTCCTCACTCTCCTCACTCTCCTCGCTCTCCTCACTCTCCTCACTCTCCTCACTCTCCTCGCTCTCGTCGCTCTCCTCGCTCTCCTCGCTCTCCTCGCTCTCCGCACTATGCTTGTTGGCACGTGGCCAAGTGACTGCCTGGCCAATTTGATTATGGAGTCCGGCTTGCCCGCAAACTCAAAATGAGGATAACAGTGATGAACCCCAGCATTCATAACCTTGTGTGCTCCAAGACAGGCTCACTCATGCCTGTGCCTGCGGCATGACTTGCCAGGTGTCTGCTCCTCAAAGTAGCCATCGAAGGGCGCCTGCGATTGCCAAGACACCAAAAGCCACGGAAACCAGCCAGCCCGCACCAGGAAGAAGGGTTTGGAAGAGAGAAGCAAAAAGGACCTTCCCGTCGTAAGGCCAACTTCAAACAAGTCGCATACCGACGAAAGGATTCTTTTGTGCTTCAGACACTGTTCCGTCCTATTCTCCAGCAATTCGACATGAAACCCCGGAAAAAGGGTCAAACCAAAACGAGAGATATCAAAAGTGAGATCTTGTTGGATTCCATTCTCACCATCAGGAGAGTACATAAACTTGAGAACCAGGCTAGCTCACAAAACGAGCGCAGTTCCCAAAAGGAATTGAGAAGTCAGCGCCCAGGAAGGAGTCGAACGCGGCCCAGGGAACTAATCAGTAGAATCTTGTATCTGGGCAAGTAGAAACTGCAGCTACAGCTAGCTAAAGCTAGCTTGCATAATCAAACTTTATCCACGTTGCCTAGCACTCAAACCTGTGATTCACACTGCTAGAACTGGCTAAGGTGCAACTAGAGCACCAGCTTATATTGCGAGTATCCAACTGCGTAAGGTGTGCGTGTACAAGTTCTCCTGGTCTGTAACACTGAATGATGCAAGTCAGATCCTTCGCGCCAGTTATTTGCCGTCGGGACAACTTGAAGAATAGATGCACCTTCCCATGTCAGAACAAACGCATGTACGTAGAGACGCAAAGACACATACCAAGAAGCACGTTGGCAAACAAGCAAACAAATAAAGCAATCAAAGAACAAGCTGACCAAATGCATCGAGCCAAAAGATAATCGGAGCGAAAGAGAGAACGGACAAAGATCTGTGGAGAAAGATGGAAAGACTGGCAAACACACAACCAAGCAACCAAGCAACCAAGCAACCAAGCAACCAACCAAATAAAGAAACAAACAGACCAAAACAGGAAGAAAAAATGAACAACAGAGAACAAAACCAAATGAAAAACATTGCAAAATCGAAAACAACAGAAACAAAACAAAACAGGACAAACCAGAACAAAACAAAGAACAAAAGAAATCAAAACAAAACACAATGAAAACACAACAAAAAGAACCTCACACAAGCAAACACACAAACATGGAAAGGTACCTCCAGCAAAGTTCCCTTCCACATTAAGTCCCTTATTTAGTTCTTCCCAGTTTCTAGATACGCTGGTAAGCTCTTGTTAGCTTACAAAGCACGTCACAATAGGGGACCCCCAACATGTTGTGGTTTCCCTGTACAGCAACACACAAAAGTGTACCAAACAATACAGACCTGAACATTCCCCCTCTGCCACATTCCCTCGGCCTGCAAGTAGCCGCGGCCAATGTCAATGACGGGCACCAAGCAGGGGATCAGCGGGTTCTCCCAGGAGCTGCTGCCGTCATCGGTGTTCACGTAAAAGGGGCCTGGAATTCCAAACTGTCTGCTTGCCCCGCTCTGATTCGGATTGACCCGCCCTTCCTTCGTTCTCTTGGTTCTTCGTTTGCTGGAAGGAAGGAACCCGGAAAGAATTCGAAGCAAAAAGCCGAACTTTGTCCAGAGACTGTTTAGAGATAAACCAATTGCTTGTCAATGCATAATTCAGGTATCAATGGTATGTACGTTGTGTGAGTGTGAATGTCAGTAAGAGTTCGAAAATTCTGGATTGGTTGTGTGGCTACAAGACAATGTTCAGAAGAATGTGTGAGGCAATGTTTACACAAAATTGGCCTGTGTGAACATCAATGGCTGAGGCAAACACATCCACCGCAAACCCTTTTACTAGTTGATTGAAAGAATGTCCTGTCCGTCCTTGCATTGAAACCCTGACGCTGACGGCGGTCATAAAGGGTTTCCGCCTCATGTTGCAAAATGTTGCTCAACCAAGAGGGCAAAGGATTTGAAGCGCAATCGTGTCTCCCCCTTGACGCTTGACCTGCTTGAGTCCGCACCTCTCGAACATTAGCACCAGAAGGCTGACTGCAAACTACCTGTCACTTGTTGGGAATGTGTCCGAATGTGGGCACCCCCAAATGGGTACCCTCAAAAAAACCACACACACACACACACACATTGTCACTTCTCCGCTAGTTCCGGCCAGAGTGCGCCCAGTGTTGGCGTCCATATGCATCTGGTAGCGAGGCGGCAGCACGTCGCTCTGCAGCCCGTACTCAGCGATCCAGCCGAAGTATGTGTCCTTGCGAACCGGGAAGCTTAACAAGCCGCTGTCGCAAATATACATAGAGAGGTGTTTCTATGCAATATACCTAGGTATGAATGTACAATGACAAAATAAGACTATTTCTATGAAAATCCAGATGCTCACAGCGCAAAGAGAAAACCTTGTCCCAGTAAACCTGGAAGACACTCCCATGTGACCGATATCAAGTTCCTCTCTATCCAAGCCTCCAGTGAAGATGAAGCAACCCCAGGGCCGATTCTCGTTCCGTTCACACAAGGCGGCTGGTAAATGCAAGCTGATTGCTGACAAAACCACAACTCCTGCCCAACGGCCAAGGTGTTGAGGGCGGATATTCCTTGAAAGGGGCCCTGGCCTCAAGACCCGCCCACCCGCTCCCGCACCCCCCTCGGCGCATTTTTCCGGCCTGCTATCTGTGCGTCCCGAGGTATATCTTACTTCCAACAATCAGTGCATCACTGCGCCTCTCGCACGAGACCCTCCCGTCCTCCGCCGGATCGATGCCCAGCTGCTGCATAAACTCAGAAGCCTCACGGAATGTGCGACCCAACCTCGACACACAGGCCATGGCTCACATCCTGGACGCAGACTTAGTAAGAACGGTATGCATGCATGTGTACTGCAAATAATGATAGAGGGCAAGGGAGGGGCAGAGGGAGAGGGAGACGGAGAGGGAGAGGGAGACAGAGAGAGCTAGCTAAAGAAAAAGAAAGCGAGAGAGAGAGAGAGAGAGAGAGAGACAGAGAAAGAAAGAGAAAGCGAGAGAGAGCGAGAGAGAGAGAGAGAGTGAGAGAGAGTGAGAGAAAGAAAAAGAAAGCGAGAGAAAGAGAGAGAGACAGAGAAGAAAGAAAGAAAGCAAGAAAGAAAGAAAGAAAGAAAGAAAGAGAGAGAGAGAGAGGGAGAGCTGAGCGACAAGCCAAACAAGAAAGCAACGTCCTGGGCTTTGCACGAAAAAGGCCATGTGCACAGACTTATACCTTACTGAGCGCTACAGTACCATGCTTTGAAAGCCGCGTTGGTAGGATCCGGTTTTTCATCACACGGGCAAATACGAAAACAAGAACACTTGGGTTGATCATTCTGAGTGATTGCATGTGTTCCAACTGGCTCCTTTATCGAAAAGACTGCCACCCTGGGCAAGCGCCAGGCGGCGGCATCCATATTGAAGGACGCGTATGCAGCACCGCCATACGGCGACACGTCCTGGCGCAGAGGGCGGGCAAAGTTGTCAGCGGGATATGAAAAGAAAGGCCCCTGAATTCGCGTGGGCATGCAAGTAATGACACCATCATCGATAGAGTTCCAAATATGAGACTCTATCGGGGCTCTAGTTTTGCTCAACTTGGGCTGAATTTGGGCTTAGCATGGCCCTAAACTAGATTTGCCTAAGAGGCCGTATTGAAAAAAAAACAAAACAGTTGCTTCATGTCCTTCCCTAAGCGAAAACATCTAATCGCATTGCCAGTTTCTCAACGGCGTGGCGCCTGCCGGGCCCCTGAGAGGGTTGTCAAAGTAGTCCCCCCCTCCCCAACCCCTTACCCAGAGCGAGCGCGCGAGAGAAACCCGCTTTTCAAGGCAATATGGGGGGAGTCCTGTCGAGCCGGCAAAAAAGGCAGCTCCTGCATCGGCCAGTACTGCTCTTGCTGGCCCCAGGCCACCTGCCAGGTGTCCACTTCCGGTGCTAAATGCGCTGGATCCCTGAGAAAAAGGAAGCGCAAAATCTGGGCAAATGAAGTGGACCGCAAGGTCGGTGAGCCCAAACCTGAAAGAGCGTATAATACATGTCTGTTTGTCTGTCTGTCTGTCTAACTGCCTCTGCGTCTGTCTCTACTTATGTCTCTGCAGCTGCCTCTGGCTCTGTGTCTGTGTCTATTTCTGTTTCTATATGTTTGGGAATAAAATTGAAATTTCGAATTGCTAGAGCAAAACTGAAGGATTGCCCTTCCAAACGCAAACATTGGAATGACCCCAACTAATCTATCTTCAATGCACTACCCAGTTTGGAATTGGTGTATATGACATCTCCCATCAAAACTCCTTTAACATGGCCAGGAGCGCGGGGCTAGAGTGAGATGTCAAAACACTGAGAAACGGACACTGCACCATCAGCGAGTCAAGCTGCTTTTGTTCCATCCAAGACGCAGACTCCTGCGCATGTCTGTACCCTGGTCGCGACTAATGCCCCACACCCACATGCACACAAGCAAGCAAGCAAGCAAGCAAGCAAGCAAGCAAGCAAGCAGGCAGGCAGGCAGGCAGGCAGGCAGGCAGGCAGGCAGGCAAGCAAGCAAGCAAGCAAGCAAGCAAGCAAACTAACACACAAACAAACCCTCGCCTGCGGTGCGCTTGGCTGCATCCAGGCATTTTGCGACATGGCCAGGCCTGCCGCAGGAGTGGGCCCAAAACGTGTTATGCTCAAAGCCTGGGCAGCATGCTCACAATTTGCGACTCGCCGGCCTAACATGTCAAAACAAACGAGCAACCAGACCAAGCAAACAAACAAAGAAACTGAGAAACCGAGAGGTTTCTTTGGTATTCCCGACAACAGCGGTTGTGTTGTCTTCCGGAAAACCTGCAATGACCCAAATATCCTCAGAACCGCAAGCGTCCCGCGAGCTCGATGCATTTTACCTTGAATGCCTCATTGTGAGACGGTTCATGAGACTTGAGCCAAATGGCGCGTGTGTGTGTGTGTATCATCTACAAAACTGCACATGTGGCCCACGTGCTATTCACACCCCCCACGCTGCATGCTTCATTCTGAAACATCAGCGCAGAGGCATTGAAATTGTGGAAGGACATTTCGTCCCGGACCCACTCAAAAGCAACCACACAGCACGCCGGCTCTTTCACAATCTCTCAGATATAGTTTGCTTTCTGACTTGCAATTCTCAAGTCGTGAGACGCTCAAAAGACTGCAAAAACAGCAGTAAACGAATTCTAGCGAAATTTGGACATGACCATTTGAGAAAAGGAGCACTGGGCACCAACGTTCCGATATCGGTAACATCTTCCCCGCAAATGTGCCTAAAACTCGGCAAGGGCATTGATAGGAATGCCCGAATGAATGGGCGTAACCGTGCAATCATCCTCATGGAATGATATATTACCATTCACGGCCCCTTTATCCCAGAGCAGACACATCAGCACTGCCTAGCCCGGCTGTCAGTGTGAAAGAGTGGCGCGTCAGCTCTTCACCCCCAAAGAACCCGGCCGGCCCACACCTTAACCTTGGGCGCTCAAGGAGAACAACTTGCCCTATGTGAAAATTGAGCATATCAAGGGTCCCCCCACGAAATAGAGCATTTGCTCAACGCCGCTTGTCCGAATAGCTGCTTTGTAATTGCAAGATATGTAAACAAGGAATAGGATACGCACGGGAATTTTGCGCGTTATTGTACTTTTGGGGCCGATACACGGTCCCGATTTCCCGCACAATTGCACCATGTGGAGATAGTTCTCACTCCATCCCTCGTAGTAACCGGTGCGGTCCCGCACATCCCGTCGCCAAGGAGAAGCATAGCTTTTCCCCTTGGTGTCTTTGCCTTTGCCTTTCCCCTTCTGCTTGCCCTTGTTGCCCTTGCCCTTGCTTTTGCCCGATGATCCGGAGGCGGACGACAGGGACAAGGTGGTGGAATGGGCCGCGGCTCAGAGCTACTTCCTTACAATGTTGTTCTGCTACCACAACCTGGTACGAATCGTTCAATTCCGGGACTTCTGGGGAACCATTCCCAGCGGTTCAAAGGACAGGTTCGCGATCAAGGAAAGGTATAAACAGCCGGCCATCCAGAAGCTGAGGATCACCGGGATCCCAGAAGACCTGGTGATAAACACGGGAGCTGAGAATGGGCGATGGAGCTGGAGCGCCATATCATCTGCAATTTCGGCGAGGGAGCAATTTCGGACTACCTGCGAGAGACCGCATCCGAGCTCACCACCAATCCAAGGGCGATCGATCAGTTCTGCTTTGCGGCGGACGACGACAAGAACCCGAGGGACATCCCGGCCGGGGTGAAGGTCATCCAGCATCTGCCCATATGCCTGACGTTGGCCAGTCATGAGACGGCGTCGACGCTTCCAACGTTGCCGGATCGTCCACATCACACTGATCAAAGATGTTGACCAACATACACGTGTGCTTCCACCGAATTGGATCATGGACAGCCTTTGTGTAAATGTCGGCTGCCATTTTAGACGACAACTTGTAAACCAGAGCGTGTTCTTCGCGTTTGAACATTTCATCTTACCAGCAATCATGGACTGATTATCTCCCAGAACACAGCACAGGGTAACCCGTCGCTACGCACTGTCGTGTCAGCCGCCACAGTTTCTGCCTCTGGAGTAGAGTGGCGCAAGACTGCCTCTTGCTATTTCCTACCAACGGAAAGCGAGTATTCTTACCATGCAACACTTGGCATCCCGAAGTGGAACGAAGGGAATCGACACATCCCGAAAACTCTGCTGCCTGAACCTGATCCAATGGATCACCAACCCATTCTTCTTCTTGGACCAGTTGACGTAACACATCAAATGATGCAGTCGCTGGTCGTCCTCTTGGCTCCATTTTGTAACATGACGCGCCAATGACTTGATTGGTAGGAGCAAATCGGACCCGGCTAGACGTGCCGCGTAGAGTAGTTTCATGAGCACACTAGCTGCATGTGGCGCAAGCTCCCCTTGCACGAGCGTTTGCACATCCGACTCGTCTGCCCCGCCTGGAATGAACGGGACATCGGGGTTCAAAATGTGTTTACACACCACGTGCATTCGACGTGTTTGCCGTCGGTACACGGCCTGCGTGCTGGATGGTCCTTCGCATCCTCCGGAAGCGATGGAGTCTTGGCATCCTTCAACTTGACACGGTTTCCGATGATGTCCGTGTACTTCTGGACAGACATGTTTCAGGCTCGATCTCCAGGTGCGAAGGAGATCCGCCCCTTCTTCCAGCTTCCATCTTCTGGCCAACCCTCCCGTGGGAGCTCCACCCACAAAACAAACCCCTTCAATGTAAGTCTGGATCGCATCGGCAACTTGACCCTCCCATCCTTCAACACACCCTAGGAAGTCAGCCCAGCGAGACGCTTCAAACGTTGCCGGACTATTGCCTAGATCATGAAAATGGCATCGGCCATATCGTTCTTCTCCACTCTGGCGAAATGACCAACTTCCTCGAGACGACGAGCCTCCGCTCGAACATCATCGTACTCACGCACATTCTTCATATCAAAAACTTTTGCGTAGACCAGACCATTCCATCCGAATAACTTCAACCGCTTTTGGGTTCGAAAGCATTTCCTTCTTCCCCACCGGCCTAGAAATCATTGCGTTGTGAAATCGTGGAAACTTTTCTTTCAACTTCTCTCTGTGGGCATGGGTGCACGGTACACATGGCATCTTTCGAGCCCCATCCTCCCAACTATCCGGCTCCAGATCTTCAAATGCGTCAACTTCCATCATTCCGACGTAATCCTCCCATATCGTCGTCATCCTCGTATCTGGTGCACGAGGCCGCATGAGTGTAAGGATTCTCTCGCCAGTAGAGCCAGACCATTAAGCGTTTATCGCCTTCAGTCACGATTCTTTTGATCTGTTCTAGGTCATCGAGTACATTTGTATCCGAACCCAGCGTTCTCATTGTCAGGATTCTGTCAAACTCCGCAAGGCTTAGGACCACTCTTGTGTCGTTTACCTTGGCCTTCTGCGAAAGTTTTCACCACGCTTTGAGATCATTCCCATTTCTCGACGGGTTCGCGTGTCCAATCTCCTGTGCCCCATTTGTCCTCAATGATACGGAGCCCAACTTCCAACTTCTTCACGGATACTCCAATCCTGACCACTGTCACGCTCTTTAGGAACGTTTTGCGCAGCTTCTTGGCGTCTTTGCCGTCGTTTGATTCCTTGGCTTTGTCCTTCATCTTCTCGGCCTTCTTTTCGACCTTCCTCATTCTCTTTTCCAGTCCCTCTTTGATGTCTTTCTCAACTTCGGCGGCTGCGTACTCCCACGTCATTCTGTCAACATGGGACATCTGTTCCACTCCTCAGGGACACATGTGGAGGCCTAGACTTTTTGCGGCCTTGCAGCCTCTACGCCCGTCTATCCCAACTTCGTAGGGACTTGACGTGTTCACATGCTTTGGGAGGACCAGATGTAGGTATCGGTGTACCTTTGATTACCGTCCTGTAGATTTGTTTCTTTTTCGGATCGATGCTGATGCAATCAAGCACTTCGGCAGCATTGCTGTTCACAGTCGTACGGCCGACAACATCCTTCCATTTGGCCCCCCCTGTGGCGTTCGTTTATTGCTTTCTCGTCCACCTGTGGTAACCCGGCTCGGGACCACCGGGCATTGGGATTTCCCCCTTGGCCCCTTTGTGCAACACCCTCTCAGCATATACGAAGCCTCCTGGATTTCCAATTGCTTGCGAAAAGGTTCTTCTCATCAGCGGAGAGAGTCAATTCACAGCTCTGGTTGCACTAGTGGCAACCAATTGCCTTTCAGCTCCACCTCAGGGAGAGCCGCGGGGCGGGCTGCGGCATTTGCTTGAATCTTCATGGTCAGTTCGGCATCAAGGAACTTGTCAAGTTCCCACACCAACATTTTGCCACTCCATCTCATTCCGCTCTCGCCCCTCATTGATCTGGGCACGAACTTGCGAGTGTCATCTCTTGTAGGAGACGGTTTGAAATGGATGTAGGCACCTAGACGTATACTCTTGCCGCCGAAATGATTGCCATGCATATTGTACCAAGCGCTCTCACCATCCAAGATTTCAACGTTTAGCAAATGACATGTCGAGGTTAGAGCAAAAGACCAGAAACACGGAGGTAACCCAGCAGCCAGCAAGCAAGCGCTCACCTGATCGATCACGTAAAGGTTGTTCC